CTTTTGAAATTTTATAATATATATTGTTAGATATAATCTATGTAGATTAAAAATTTGTTGGCACCTGATAATTTTTAAGAGCTAAATGGTCTGTGAGTCTCATTTCCCCCCTACTCTGTGACATAGTAAGTTGAAAATACCTTTATTCTAAAAGAACTATGCTGTTTTACCTCTATATACCTGTGCTCAGGGCTTCTTTCTCTCCCAGTGTGTCTTGGGGCCTTTATATCTAATACTCTTTTGTTGTAAATTTTACCTTCATAAAGCCATTCATATTTTCTTATACTTATTGTTTGCATGGAATATCTATTTCTATCCATTTTCTTTCAACATCCCTATGTATTGCTGCTTAAAATTTGTTTCTTATAGGCAGTATATAGTGGCATTGCATTTTATTAATCCATTTAAAATTTGTTTTTTAATGGGAAGTTTTAGTCCTCTAACATTTAATGTGGTTATTAATATAATTGGTTTTGAGTCTTTTATTTTACTACTTGTATCCTATTTTTTATTTTATTATCTTTATCCGTTTTTATATTATGTTAATCGAATATTTCCTAGAACATTTCTTAGAATTTATTCATTAACCTTTAGGTATATATCATACCTCCCTCCCTCTTTTCTTCCTTCTTTCTTCCTTTTTTTTCTTCTTTCCCTTTCCCTCCTTCGGACCTCCTTTGATCTGAAAATATCTTTATTTTACCTTCATTGTATAAGGATTTTGTGCTGCTATGGAATTTCAAGTTTACAGTTTTAATTTTTCTTTCTTTAGCACATTTAAAAATTCGTTCATCCACTGGTCTCCATTGTTTTTGATAAGAAGTCAGTAGTCACTGAAATTCTTATTCCCTAAATACAATGAAATTGTCCTCTGTTGTCTTCGCAACTCTATTCTGTGCACACTTTTCATTATTTACCTCACTACCTCTACCTGTTGGAATGTGGTCCTATATCACCAATTCTGTGTAGGGAGTTTATTCAATCAGTCACTCACTGGATATGCTGTCTCCTTAAATGCCGATCGGTCTCTACTCTGTATATGCTAATAGGACATTTTGTGTTTATTTTCACAACAATTCAGTGGTGTTTCTTTTTACTAAGTTGATTTTGCTACCTGTTTTCTTCTTAAAGGTGTCATCATCCTAGCCATTAACCTGGACTTAAAAGCTTAAAGTCATCTTTGACTCTTCTTTCATCTTCACACTTTATCAAGTGTAATACTGTTATTTCTTGTTTTAGAAATATTTAATGTTCATGACTTCTCTCATTACTGTTACCATCCAAGTTATAGGGTCCAAAATAAGACACAACATTTAAAGATATAATGATTGATTTTTTTCAATCGGAATAGCCTAGATTTCAAAAGCCTACTATTTTTTCTATTCTTTATTCTTTTCCTCAGACCAGCTTACCTGTCACTATTATATGAGCAAACTTCTGAAAACATTATTTTTATTTTGTGTTACTCAGTCATTATTTTTGTTGCCTCCTCATTTCTTTAGACAGTGTTTTTTATAGAGGAAAATTATTGTCATGATCCCTCAGTGTTGACTAACATTTAGTAGTGTATCTTAAATATGTCTGAATATAAAAGTAAATGTAAAGTTTTACACATGCTACTGTGAATATTGAAGTTAGCATTAATGTGACAGAGGTTGTTTATCAAAACCAAATTGAACATGAATATGTTGCAGATTCTAAATTAGGCATGGTCCTATTCCACAGTGATGACTCAGTTAGCCCGTGACTTTTCTGACTTCAAACTTCTGAGAAGCCTTTGTTTCCAGAGCAGACTCTGATATCATTTGACCTTTATCTGATTCAAATGTCTCACTTGAGAAATAGATTCTCTGTCTTTTTTCACATTGTCAGCCTGTTACAGTTAAAATAGCACTACTTGTGTATAGTAAGATGGTAAATAATAATACACACAAGTAGGATACAAAATCTACATTAAAAAAATCTATAGCTTTTCCGTACACCAATAATGAACCAGATGACAAGGAAATCAGGAAAACAGTTCTATTTACAGTAGCTTAAAAAAAAAATACCTAGGGATCAACCTAACCAAGGAGGTGAAAGGCCTTTACAATGGAAATTTCAGGACACTGGAGAGAAAAATTGACAAAGACAGTAGAATGACATTCCATATTCATGAGTCAGCAGAATTAATTGTTAAAATAGCCATATTATCAAAAGCCACCTACAGATTCAAGGCAATCCCCATCAAAAATCCAGACATTCTTCATAGAAATAGAAAGAACACTTCTAAAATTTTTACAGAAACACAAAAGACCAAAAATAGCCAAAGCAATCCTGAGCAATAGAAGTAAGACTGGTGACATGACAATACTCAGTTTAAAATTGTATGACAAAAACACAGTGACAAAAACTGCATAGTACAGCACAAAAATAGATACATAGACAAATTGGAATATGAGAAACAGAAACAAACCCATACAAGTACAGCTGTATAATTCTTGACAAAGGACCCACCAACACACGTTGAGAAAAGTCAGTCTCTAAAAAATGGTGCTGAGAAAACTGGATTTCCATATGTGGAAGATTAAAACTAGATCCCTATCTTGCACTCTATACAAAAATCTATTCAAAATGGATCAGAAACCTAGGACTAAACCCTGAAACTTTGAAACTTCTAGAAAAACACTTGAACAATAGGCAAAGACTTTCTGAGTAGAATTCTGATAGTACAGGAAATAATAACAAGATCAACAAAAGGTGCCACAGCAAATTAAAATATTTCTGTACAGCAAAGCAAACAACTGACAGTGAAGAGACAGTCTACAGAATGAGAGACAATCTTTGCCACCTAACTCTTCAGATTACTATCGGCTGTCTGCAAAGAAATGAACAAACCACCAAAACCATCAAATAGTCCAATCAGTAAGTGGGAAATGAATAGTCCCTTCTCAACAGCAGTATAAATTCCCAATAAGTGTATGAAAAATGTTCAACATCTTTAGCCATTAGGGAAATGCTAATCAAACTATATTGAAATGCCATCCCATCGTAGTCAGAATGGCTGTCATCAAGAATATAATGCCTATACCTACTTAGCTGCCTACCTATATGCATGCACACACATACATACATATACACATATATACATACATACATAAATACATGCTGGCAAGGATGTGGGGTAAAGATGCTATTGTACACTGCTGGTGGGAATGTACATTAGTATGTTCATTGTGGAAATCAATAGGAAGCTTCCTCAAAAACCTAAAATTAGAGCTGTCACTAATAGTTTTACCACTCCTTGGTATATCCCCTGAGGAATTAAAGTGAGCATACTACAGGGATACCTGCATACCCATGTTTATTGTGATACAGTTGCCAGTAGCCAAGATATGGAGCCAACCTAGATTCCCATCAACGGATGAGTAGAAGATGTGGTATAAATGTGTTGTTACAAAATGTTTCTAAGTAGAGGAAATTCAGAAATGCTATTAAGTATGTGAGATGATAGATATATTAATTAGCTTGATTATATTATTCAGCTATAAAGAATAACAAAATTATGCCATTAACAAAAAAATGAAGGGGACAGGAGATCATGTTAAGTGAAATAAAGCAGACTCAAAGGAACAAGTATTGCATGTTTTCCTTAATATGTGCAATCCAAAAGAGATGACACAAAAGTAGGAGGGAGAGTATTATTACAAAAGAGGAAAGAATAAAGGGGAGAAGGGAAGGGTGTATGGGAGGACAGTGAGGATATAGAAAAAAGTTATCAATTTTATTATTAAGAGATCATGATGACATGAATGTGTCGAGGTGAAAAGGTTGTCCACTATACCCTGTTATGTGAGATAGAAGGTTACAAAACAACATATAGGGCATTGCCAGTTTTTAATTTTCAAAAATATATTAAGGTATAGAGAGATCAAGAAATAGTCTAGAATGGTGTTCACTTGACTGTTTTAATCTCTCCAGGAATGAGATGCGGGGCACAGTTATTGTTTAAGAGTATTTTTGAGGAAATTAAGAGTTGCTGTAAGTATGTGTGGTGGTGTATACATTAATAACCTTGATTGTAGTAATCATTTCACAATGTATATATACCTTAAAACATGTAGTATACCTTAAATATATTTAAATTTATTTGTCATTATACTTAATAAAAGTATAGAAGAAAAAGGCATGAAATATACAAGTTAAGGTCTGATGCTACTTAATGATTGGGGTTTCTACATAAGCATCCAGATAATTGAGAATATGGGGTGTGTGTGTGTGTGTAAGAGACTGAAAGAGAGTTTTAATTCACTTGACAAAAAGAAACTTAGAAGATTTTTTATAGAAAACAAATAGAATCTCAAAATTGATCTTATACTCTCAATTTGTACAGACCTTATAAAAATCACTTATCTTTAAATAAAGACTATGTTATCATCTAAGGCCTTCATCAATTTGGGTTAGACTTCTCTTCCTTTTCAGTTTTGTTTTTCTTTTCAGATGACACTTTCCCAAATGTGTGCATTTTGGATTCTATCTAAACCCATCACTTATCCACAACCTTTAAAGACCATTAATATTTTCACTTTTGCTTGAGGTTCTGTCAGCCTTTTCAATTATAATTTGATTTTTCTCTTTTGAACTCTTCTCTGATTTTCTTCTGTCAAATGTTTTGGTATTTTAGTTTTTGATAATGTTATTTTAAAATTGTTTAATTTTCATACTGTCAACATTATCAGACTTTCAGAGGCTTAAAGGCAAAATAGTATCTTAAAAGTTTCTTGTTTGTTCTTTTATTTGTTTGTTTTTGCATTATCCTCAGGATCCTCACTGATAGTCTTGAAGCATTTACTGAGGGAATCAAATAATTAAATGTAATGCATAGTACTATAGATATTCTTTCTCTTGCAAAGTTTTCTTTATATGATGTTTAAGTAAGTTACATTGATGTAGAAAGTTTGCAATTTTCAGAGAGTAAAAGCTTTATAATTTTTTTGTTCCCTGTTGTTTTTCATTTTCAGGACTTTTGGGAAAGATCCTTATGGCTATTCGAGATGCATGTTTTGAAATTTCAGCTATGCAGATGGTAGGTAGTTTGCAATAAACCATGATGTATTGATTTTTAAAATAAGCTTTAGAATGTTTTTTCCTGAATGTTCTCTCTACACCTGTGAACTCAGTGGATTAAAAATAAGAGACATACTTACTGACCTCAATAGCTTTATAATTTAAAAAATTTGACATGATTTTACCCCTATTATCTTGCACTAAGAGAGCTAATGTTCAAATAACACACTTAATTCATTCTCATAAAGTAAGTTTATTCATTTCTTGGAACTTTAGCCACAAAATAAATGATGACTAAAAAATATCTTTAGTTCTTAGAAATGAAAAACAGAATCAGTGTGAGGAGTTAAGCTGAGTTTACTGTATTCTGGATTCCTAACTAAGCAGACAGTGGAGAGAACTGAGTTCAGATTTTTACCCCTGGTCTTTCTTGAGTCTACATTTATAGAGTCTCTCTCAGGAGCGTTTTGGAGTTAGTGCATTTCATCCCCTCTGTGGTCATGGTCCCTTGCACTCCCCAGCAAGATCTTAAATGTTTCTAGAGAAATAATAGAAATAATAGAGATTTCAGGTTGTGGATTTGCTAATTGCCCTGATTTGATCACTATACATTGTATACATGAATTGAATTGAAATATTATACTCTACCATAATATGTACTATTACTACACATCAATTTAAAAATTTATTTTTTTAAAAAAATATCAACTACTTTGAACATTGTCAAGCAAAAATCCTATCAACTCATGAGAAAAATGATAGTTGGAGTATCTTATCTAGGATTATAAAAAAACTCTTAGCCAAAACTTTCTAAAAGTGATGATATATTAACAGGACTATTGGATTTAAGCCTACTTTAAAAATAATTATAGGAAGTTTTGTTGCCCAGTGTGGCCTCAGACTCACAATGATCCTCCTGCCTCCGCTCTCCAAGTGCTGGGATTACAGGCATGTGCCACCACGTCAGGCTAGGAAGTTTTCTTTAAATATTGACCTAATTGTAGGTCTACAATCAAGCACAATGATTGATCATAGTAGCTACTTAATCAAACCTGTGGTGGAGGCATAGTAATGTAATGATGTGTGCAGTTAATGACTTTTGAAGTCAGATCTACTTCTGAATTTGGGGTCAGCCGCTTTCTAGGTATATTCCCCGGCATCAAACATTCCTATCCTCAGTTTTCTTATCTAGGCAACAGGAGCAATTATTTGCCTAAATGAATTATTCTGTAGAGTAAATGAAATAACCATACACAGTGCTTTATAGAGTCAGAAACTATAAACTAGAAGCTCCCAGTACTATTTAATGTTGTATCTTCTGTTATTGTTTTGTTGCATTAATAATAAATTTTTATGAGTGTAGGATAAACCACTGAAATTGAATGGAATTCCCTCTCAATACTAGTAATGATGTCTTTGATGGTAAATTCTTTGAGCTTCAATTGTTATCTGTGTAAGCAAAAATTTCTCAGTCTTGGCAACAATAAAAAAATAGGGGAAAAATAAAATTAAAAATGCAGAGACTATTAAGCAATAAAGTTTTAGTTCTTGAGATCCTAGAATATAATGAAATTTTACTCTTAACTAAATTTAAATCCAACTTTGATAAAAATAAGGTGTTCTAGACTTACTTTGTGAGCACACTGTATTCGTGATTATTTGTGAAGAGTACTAAGAAGTCCACATGACATGTATAAGTGCTTTGTTATAGTCTAGACTGGGGATTGTTTGGGATGAAAATGGTCTTATTTTCCATTCCTTCTACTGTAGTCTAAAGTATTTTTCTTCAGTAATATTTTTTCTTGTAATTTTTATCTATCAATAAGCAGTATTATATTGCATGTATCCTTTTTATATCAAGAATGAAATATTTTTTTCAAAGAAGGGTAGGGCCGGTGGTAAGAACATGATTAATGGGATCAATGATAGAGACAGAATGCTAATTTGAGGAGGCTTCATAGCCTTCTCCATCTTAGCAGCCCCATCAGGAAACATGGGTTATTACTACTACCTCTGCCATAGGGTTACTTAAATGGGATGATGCATGTGAAGAACATAGAACAGTGCATGACACATTAAGTACTCAGTAAATATTATCCATTGTTATTATTAATCAACTGATCTTAACACTTTTCTCCAAAGAGTAAATTATTCACGATTTGCATTTTAAAGTAGAGAATATAGAAATAAGAAATGATAAATGTTGAGTACTAAGTGTGGCTTATTTATTTTCTTTACATAGTTGGTTTGTGGATTTATTTTGTTTTATTTTTAATTATAGTTCAACATGGACCGGGTTAATGTTGAAGAATTCTATGAAGTTTATAAAGGAGTAGTATCTGAGTATAATGTGAGTATTGAAATAAATGGAAAATATTATTACTGAAAAAAATTTGTGTGTCTCAAGTCTTGGGAATCTCAGTATAATCAATAATCATTAAAAGTAACCAGCCATGTAGTGGGCATCTGTAATCCCAGCACTTGGGAAGCTAAGACAGGAGAATTGCCACAAGTTCAAGTCCAGCATGGTCTACATAGTAAGTTTAAGGCCATCCTGAACTATGTAGCATGATCCTGTCTCAAAAAACAAACAAACAAAATTATTAAAAGTATTCCTTGGGGATGGGGATTCAGCTCAGTGGCACAGTGCCTGCCTGGCAAGTGCAAAGTCGTGAGTTCGATTCCTGGTACCGGAAAAAAAGAAAAAAAAAAACATGAAAGTATTCTTTAATGTGTGATTTGGGATGCATATATCTGATAAGGGGCTAATATCCAAAATGCGTAAAGAATTCAATTCAATAACAAGAGAACAAATAACCTGATTTACAAATGAGTAAAGAATCTGAGTAGATATTTCCCACAAGAAGAGATGTGATTGACCAACTGATATATGAACACATGTTCATCTCTAATCATCAGGAAAATGCAAATGAAAAAGCACAGTGAGCTATCTTCTCAGGCCTGTCACTGTCAAAAACAGCTAATGATTTCAAGTGTAGGCAATGTGGAGAAAAGAGAACCCTTGAACACTATTAATGGTAATGTACAGCCATTTTGGAAAATAATGAGATTATTAAAACTAAACATAGAATTACTATATGATCCAGTAATTCCACTTCTCGGTGTGAGTCCAAAGAATTGAAATCAGTAGTTTGAAGAGAGATTTATACTCCCATGTCCATTTCAGCATTATACACAATAGCAAAGAAACTAAAACAACTTAAATGTCCATCACTGGATGAATGGATAAAGAAAACATAATATATATGTAAAATATTATACTATACGGCCTTTGATAAGAAAAGGATTCCCCGGTTTGTAATAACATGTATAAAGCTGGAGTGCATTATCCTAAGTGAAATAAACTAGGCACAGAACCACAAATACTGTTTGACTTCCTCTGTGTGCAGTCTAAAGAGTCAAACTCAGAACCAGAGGCTGCTACGAAGAGAGAGGAATGGGAATTAGGAAGGTGCTGATCAAAGGGCACAAAGCTTTATTGAAACGGAGGAATGGTAAGTTTTAATGATCGATTGCATGACATGGTGACCACAGTTACCAATAATGTCTGTGATAAAATAGATAGTTAACATTCTCATTGCAATAAGAAAGGTAAATCGATGAGGGGATGGATATATTAATTGGATTATTTGAGTCCTTTTATAATGCATATATGTAGATCAAAACATCACATTGTGACATATATACGTATACAATTATTTGTCAATTTTAAAGTATTTCTTATTTCTGATAACTGCCTGCTGATCTTACCCATTAACTGATATATTCTTATCCTTGAGATCCAGTGAAAAATATAATACTGTTTCCCTTATAAAACTAAAATATATAGGGGGACTCCAAAAAAGATAGGTATCATCAACAAAACATGCTGTTGGGATAGTGATACATTTTGACATTTTATACGAAGTGGATAGTATTTTCAAAGGAATTTAATATCCACTTTAGCGGCATAAATGCAGCTGGAATCAACTGAAAGCATGATTGAGACTGAATAAAGGGTGTTGTTCAAAGGGTGATGAGGTATATTCCTAAAAACAAATTGACCATATTTAAATGAACTAAATCCTGTTCCTTACTGTAGGAGATATTTAGTAGAAGTTAGTTTCCTTTCTTTCTTTTTTATCAAATTTTCTGAGATACTTTCATGCTAGTACGCTGCCCATTATCCATGTTTTCTAGAAAATTTTGGCTTTTATTGTTTTATAAAATTCACTCCAGTAGTTGTGACGACACTAGGCTCTCCTGTTCTCCCTTTTCCATGCATTTCCTTGCTACTTACTTAGAAAAATATAAACGGTCCACAAACTGGCCTGAGCCTTTGTCAGCCACATTATCCATGTAAACAAAAACTGATCAACAGTATTTTACTTTGATTCTGGCACACTGATAGTGTTCTGTCCTTCTTTTGAAAAACCAGAGCATTTATTTTTCTTTCATAGCTTATCATCTTCTTTATGTTAGAGTTTTACCTATTCTTTTCTTAAGTGGAAGAGATTTTAAAGTGTGCTCTTATGTTAGCTTTATTTATCCAAGCAGTGAGAGCTGTTGTCCATTTCTCAAATCTTTGCTTCATATTTTCCTTCATTTGTTCAATTTAACTTTCAAAATATATGGTTCAAAGGAGCTAGTTTTATTCACATTATATTATAGTTTAGTTATATAAAAGACAGAAGTAGCTCATAGAGACCGAGACACGATACCCTCAACACTCAGTTATAGTCTCATACAACATGAAGTGCTGAATTTGGTAACAGACAGTGGTTGGAACACTAATGGTTTATGTACGTATACTTCAGAAGACTGTATTTCCCTTTGAAAAACAACTTAAAAATACCATTTCTAACTTTTAATGTCTGCTGGGTTGTGCTTTAAAATACTGTATGTGCATTTTTTATTGTAATTCACTTGTACTCTTAGAAACTTTTAATCATGGGATTCTGAAGGTAAGGATAAGAGCATGATGTGTCCTTTCTGCTAAGAAATCATTAATTTGGGTGACAGTAGCAATATGATACCTGAATATCTGGAGAACCCAGAATTGTTGGTATTGATATCTTTTTCTCTGTGTAATATTGTCAGTGAGATATTTTATATACTTCCTATCGAAATCTTGCAATAAAATGAAAAATGTCTGCCCAGAACAAGAATATATGGGTCATACAAGTTAAAAACCCATATTACATCAGAGAAATTATTAGTTTTATAATTTTCATAATATTAATGATTATTTCTCCATCTTAAAATATATCAAAACATTATTGATTTGTAGTTCTTTAATGAGAGAACACACTAGATATATGAATCAGAACTTATCAATATCCAGATGTGTTTATGAGCTGTTACTTTGCTTGTAAAATACATAACTTTATTTAAATTATAAAAACTGTCTCCTTGGAAAATTGCCCCTAGCATAACTAAGAATGTTTTTATCCACATATTTTTTATTTTCTCCAATAATATTTTAAGTAAATAATAATCTTATGAATGGTATATGGCCTCTAATACTTTGAAAGTTCTTAAAAGTCACATTTATTTTTACTTTTCCATTTCCTTATTCTGAATTTAAGGTATATGGATATAGGGGCATGAATATAAAGTGACAGTGTCACTGATATTTTCGTACCTGAGCTTGTTTTGTAACTTAAACCTACTTTTAGTTTTTCCCATATTGCTTCCTTCAAACTATATTCTTTTGTATTAGGTTTAAATTATGAATCTTACAGTTGTTGACCATAAAGTCACTTACTTTTTTAAAGCCCTGGTTAACTCATCTATAAAATCAGAATAATGCCATTGCTACTTCATGAGATTATTGAGAGGATTAAATGAAAAACATTAGACAAAGCACTCCCATACATTGAGAATACTCAGTAAACATGAACTGCTATTTTTGTTGTTTTTATTGTTATTTAATACAATAATTTAGTGGTGGATTCTATGTTGATCAATTACACTTATATTTCCTGCTTCAACAGTTACAATCAAAATGGTGATAATTCCTACTTCATATTGTTACCACAAATTCACTACATATGTAGTACCTACTGTGTGCTATGCAGTGCTAAACAAAAACCATACTAGCAGTTGTGGAGTTCATGTATTGGTAATGATAGCTCCTAATTAGATCAAATGATCCTATATACAACTACAGTAGGTCAGCAAAGGACTGTAAAGAAACAAACATGTTCATTTTGGTTTAGAAAATTTGTTCCTTAAATAAAAGCTAGGGAGTTAAATTTTAAGTCACTTTTTAGAGTCACGTTATGCTTTTGATTGGATTCTTTACTCAGCATGTTTTTTCTTTTCTGTTTTTTATTCTTGCATTTTGAACAACCCTGTCAATCTGTATTTTTAATGGTATCTGTTATCAACACTAAAAGCAAAGGAAGAGGAGGGAAGGAGAAAAGAAAAGAAGCCCAGAAAACAGGCAGACAGAATTTATTTTTCTCCTTTTTGAAGCATGTGTTTAGACTTTTCTTACTGAGAACTTGGCCTTGACATTTATGTGTAGGCAGTCCTTTATTAGATGAGTCACAAAATCAGACCCAACATGTTTATGTGTAAAAAGTCAATTACATATGACCTTTGTGAAATAGCAGAGTGACGATGGAGAATACATTTGGGGATTCTAATGACTAGTATGTGTGCCCTATTAAGTATAAAATCCTTTCCCTCCTCTTTTAATTTCTATCCTTTCTATTAAGGTAACAGAGTTTGGGATAATATTTAAATGCTTGTAATAAGTTGTTTTACTTTGGTGTTGTACATCATGAACCCTCCAAAGTTATTAAAATAGTTTACATGACTCTGCATTAGCTGACCTTACCTCTTATTACCTTCCTAGAGTCTCACTCAGTGCCTGATTCTTTGCTCATCTGTGTATGTCCAAACTGTTAATGTGCCTCAAAGTCTGAATGTCTAATTCCACTTCTGCCTGAAGTATTATTTCTTATTCAAGGGAGAGAAGGAAAAAAAGATTTATTGATGATTCCTCCAGACACTGTGAAAGGCCTTTTTTCTGATTGTGCTATTATACCACTTCACATATAGAGTTAAAAATCTTAAATAAGATACTTTTGTTTTTTCCTCTTATTCTATGTGCTATTGTTGTCATACATATTATTTCTATATGTGTTATAAACACTATAGTATAATACTAACATATTTTTCATTAAATAGTTACCTTTTAAAAGTTAAAAGTTTCTTAAAGTAATAAAAAAGAAAAAAGGATGTGTTTTATATTTTTCATGTAACTGCTGATGTTTTGTGTGTATCTATATCTTGTTTGTGTGAGAAAATCTATTTTTTCTTTCTTTTTGAAAAATATTTTTTCATTTGCATGTAAAATTCTGGATTGACAGGTATTTTGCAGTTGTCATCCTTATCTTTGTTCTACCATTGTGTGTCTTTTGCATCCCTAGAGGTTTTTAAGATGTTTTGGTTTTGGTTTTGGCTAATTTGTTTATGATGTTCACTCTTGTACTTTCCATTACATTTATTAGCTTGAGTTTTGTTGGATTTATGTTTATGGGTTTCAGTAAATTTGGAAAGTGTCTTGCAATTAGTTTTTGTTTGCACATAGTAGTTATTTAGAATAGTGAGTTGGCCAGGGATATAGCTCAGTGGCCCAGGCACCTGCCTGGCAAGCACAAGGTCCTGAGTTTGATTCCTGGTACAAAAAAAAAAAAAAAAGAAATAGAATAGTGAGTTACATTTGGCATATTAGTTCATGCATATAACATACCTGGATAATATCCATCCTTGCATTATATCCCTTCCCCTTCCCTCCCCCTTATTTTCTTCCTTTTTTAAATTGTCTCCCTTCTACTTTCATGGCATCTCTTTTTGTATAGATTACACATAGGAGAGAAAATGAGATACTGGGTTTTCTAAGTCTGGCTTATTTCACTTAACATCTTCTGTTCGATCCAGTTTCCTGCAAATGACATGAGTTCATTCTTGTTCATGGCTGAGTTTTATGTATTCCATTTATCAATTGACAGGCACCTAGACTGTTTCCATAGCTTAGCTATTGTGAATTCTGCCACAATGAGCATGGGTGTACTATATCTCCACAGTATGCTGATTAATTCTTTGGGGAATATACTAAGAGTGGAATAGCTAGATCAAATGGAAGCTCTAATTGTAGTTTTTTGAGGAACTTCCATATTGATTTACACTGTGGCTATACTAATTACATTTTCACTAACAGTGTATAAGGATTTCTTATTCCTACATCCTGCCTAGCATTGATTGTTTTTTGTTTTCTTAATGATTGCCTTTCTGACTGGGATGAGATGGAACTCAAAGTAGTTTTTATTTGCATTTTCCTGGTGGCTAAAGATGTGGACATTTTTTTGTATACTTATTGACTGTTTGTACTTCTTTTGAGAAATGTCTGTTCAGTTTCTTTGCCCATCTACTGATTGAGTCTTTTGATATTAATCTTATGTTGAAAGAACAGCTGGTGTGGTGGATTAACTAATAGTCAACTTATAAGACCCAGATGAACTGAATCAGCGTGGTGCTGGGTATGGTTGCTAACCTGAGGATTGTTGAGAACAGCATAATAAGAAAATTGGAGGGGAAGGTGATGTGCTGTTGATTCTTCTGGAAAAGTTTGTCAGACTGGTTTCTTGTTATGAATTTGGCTGTTCTGATCGTTGGAGGATCTCAGGTCCTCGCTGTTGCTGAAGATGGCTGTGGTTCTTTTGGAGAAGCTTTGGTCCATCCTTTGAGCGTTGCTTCCTGACTCCAGTGCAGAGCCTCAGCCTGATGGTACAGATCTTTCATCCTGCTGGTGCACTTTGCTGAATTTGTTCATCAGATCGAAATGCCTTCTGGTGTAAGACTTGGTGTCTTCTAGATAAAAGATCATAATATCTGCAAATAATTTGACTTGCTCTTGTCCTGTTTGTATCCCTTTTATTCTTTTTCTTGCCTAATTTTTAGCAGTTATTTCTTGAAATATTTTTCTGCTCCTCAGCTTTTGTTCTATAGCACTCTAATTAGATTAGATAGCTTGACATGGTCCTACAGATCTTTTTCTTTTTCATTTTTCTTTATTATTTCCATGCTTACTTTTGAACACTATTGCCTACTCTTCTGATGTGTCTCATTCTTTCCATACATCCAGTGTGTATATTTTAATATAAGGGCCTTCGACTGCATCTCTGTAAGTTCTGTGTAATTCTTTAAAATAATTTTGAGTTTTTACCCCATCATATCTGTATTTTGTAATGTGTGCAGGGGTAGCTTATGCATAGTAGCTGTTTAATATTCTTGTGTTACTTATATCATTCCTATCATTGGTGGGTCTATATCCATTTATTAAGTTTTTTGGTCGTGGTATCTTAGCTTTGTACTTCTTTGCATGCTTAGTGATTTTTTTTTATTGACTGTTGGATATTGTGAAAATTTACAGTGTCATGTGGTGGATATTGTTTTATCCCTGTAAAGAGTATTTGACTTTACTCAGACACTGCGAAATTATTTGGGATCAGTTTGACCCCTTTGAGGTTTGCTTTTTAGCTTTGTAGGATGGGTACAGAGTAGCTCATAAGTAAGGACTAATTTAGGCCAACTACAGGGGTGCAGTACCCTTCTGTGGCCTCTAACTCCCTATATCATATGAGGGGTTTCCACTTAGCTGGTAGAAGCACAAACTGTCCTCATCCTTGAGTTGTCCTCTCTCTGAGTTGTTGTTCTGCTTTTGATGGTTCTTTCTCCAGCCTCAGGCCATTTCTTATATCTGTCACGTGCTCTGAGCCAAAGACTCACGTGAACTTCTCTGGAGATATGGCAGCTTACTCTCTATGCAGCTCCCCACTTTTCTCTAGTGTTTGCAAATTCCAGCCACATTGGTCTCCGTGCATGTCAGTCTTATCTCTTCAATGCAGTGAGAATGTTAGGTTCTGCCTGTCCTATATCTGTCTCTCCTGTCTGGAAACTGTTCAGAGTCAGTAAGTTGGAACAACTGTATGGCTTACTTCCTTTGTTTCCCTTCTCTAAAAGATTGTAGAGTTGTGATACTCACCATCCTGTGCCCGGAAACTGCTGTCTAATTTCTAGATGTTAATGGAAAAGAATAAATCTGGTCCCTGTTTTTCCTTTTTGCTAGAATCATTATGAATTTTAAAAGGTTCCTTGGGAAAAACACTTGGTTATTTACAGTTTTAGGAATGTTAATTTGACAGTGTGTTCAAAGAGAGAGACCTTTGAAAGAAGATATATTAGAAGATAACTCCAATAATGAAAGCATTAGGTGGTAAAACATTAGATTAAAATGATAAGAATGACAGTGAAGGAACATATCTAAAAAATATTCACAGGAAAAGTGGGCAGAATTTGGAAACAGCTTAGAGTGTAGGATATGGATGGAAAAGAAGTCAAAGATGACTTTAACACTGAGGTTAATAGAACAATGGCACAATTCAAAGAAGAAGGGTAAATAGTATTACATTATACTGACTCCTTTGTGTTATTCTTTATTATATACCATAGGAAATGGTGACCGAAATGTATTCTGGCCCTTGTGTAGCAATGGAGATTCAACAGAATAATCCTACAAAGACATTTCGAGAATTCTGTGGACCTGCTGATCCTGTAAGTGGTTTTAAACTATTATTCTGGTTTGTGTTATCCATCAACTATCTTAACAGGTAAAATAAATAATATAAAATGGGAATACACAACAATACTTATTCAAAAATATTTTATATAGTGTATATATATTATTCCAAGACACATCATGTTTATTAGCCTCACGACAGTGCAGAATGGGAAGAAACGTTTACTGTGGGACTTTTATAAATTGTTTCTTTTTGCTAAATTATCTAGGTAGGTAAATTTTGCAAGCTTTATGACAGACATCTCAGGTATTATCTTTGATATAGGGAGGAACATAAATATAACTCTAAATATGAAGAATTTCAATATGGTTGCTTATTGCCTAGTACATCAATAAATATTAGGGTTTTTTATCTCGGTAGAAGAGAAGAGTACACCTGTGGTCAGTGATATGAGTGCACACATAGAGATCTTGTAGAGCACTTAGACTTTCAGAGGAACTTACAAATAAGGGCCAAAGTATTTTTACATAGGTAAAAATCTAAATGTTGAAGTACTGTACAATAAGGGAATCATTAATATAATGTGGAAGCAATTAAACCTTTGTTAGAGGAAGAGAGATGTAAACATGGATTTGAAAGACAAATTGGGTCACAAAGAGAATGAGAGAAACCCTTACACATATACAAAGACAACAAAAACAAATTGCAATTTTTCACAGTAAAAGTATTTTCCTAGCTTCAGTGGGAAATGCATACCTAAAAACACAAAGAAATAAGTTTTCCTAAGTAGACAAAATTGAGGTACAAAATGCTATTATGAATGTGAGATGAATAGTCTTAGAAGTTGAAATAAAAATTGTGGATTCTATATAATTTCAATTTCATATAGTAGAAAATAGGAATCCTTTATGTATAGCTGGATTTTAAGCATATAGAATTATTCCTTTTGATACAACTCGAACAATGGAAATGGAAATAGAGAGGAGCAAACCTGATCCAATCAATAGAGAAAGTGAGGTAGGACCTCCTTTTACAGCCTTTAAGGGACAGAGAAGAATGGATCGAAATCCTTCATGTGGTTGTGAAGGTGTGATAATAACAGTATGATTTTGTTGTGGAGAACCCTGGACAAGAGTGGTGCTGATACTTAGTGTTTACTGAATCTCAATCATTAGAAAATAGGAAGGGGTACAGGCTTCCGTACCCCTTTTTTGGATTGAAGAGAAAGCTGAGCTCAATTTTTTTTAATCATTTTTATCATTTTGTATTTCTGATTTCTGTTTGATAGCCAAGGGAAGTTTTTGTTTATTTATTTTTTAAAATAATTAAAATCATGACAGAGCAGCTAACCAGTTAAAGAGTAAATTGTTCAAAGTACATGTAGAAAACAAAGCAACCCTAAGTGGCTAATTTTCATGCACTGGGACAATTGCACTGTTAGACATTTGCAGGTATAATGGGAACCCAGAATAGTAGTACCTACCCACCCCAGGGGTTGGGCACACTTCTTGAGGGCATACATCTGAGCCGAACTGTGAGGAGTGGGTAGAATTTAGCTTGGTGAGGAAGGTGGGAAATAATATGATCTAAGTTATGTATGCGTAAAACAGCATCACTTTTGAATTATAACAAGTTTTTTTACTTTTGAGGGAGCTAAAGTGCAGGCAGGAAATGACAGGATAAAGTCATGGGGAGGAGCTGGAGAATGAGCAGAGGAGAAGGCAGTCTTGGAGAGAAAACATGCTGCTTTTCTTTCTTTCTAGATATTTATTCAGTGACCATTTACTCAGTGAAGAGTACATGTAGAGCTCATTGCTATGTCCTGTGGCTGGGGCACCCTAAAATTCTTTAAAGAGCTCATACTCTCATGAGAGTTCAATTTGGAAACTCTTTTGGGGTCCTGAGTCTTGCCTTGTCCAGTACAGTTGGAATTATGCTACTATGGAATTTTTTTTTCTTTTTAGTTGTTTATGAGCCTCCCATAGAATTATAGTCATACCACAGAGATTTCAAAATTTAGAACAACAGTGATTGTTTTGTGGAGGTGGATTGTGGTAATATTTTAGTTCTAATTTCCTGTACTGTACACATTTTCTTTGAATTACTTATATTGCATTTATAGTAAGAAGAATACACTTTATCATAAACCTGAAAGTTAGTGATCTTTTGATTGAAGAGGCATACACTCACTAGAAATGACTTTCTTTTTGAATATGAGTCCTGAATTATATACTGTTGCTAGGTGCAGACCAGGATGTTAAGGAGCACAACACGCTTCTGTCAGTTGTTTTCAAATCGGAAGAAATGCAGTGATGGTTACAGTCAAACTACACTTTCAGAATGAAACGGCCCTTTCCCAGTGGTCTCAGACTTCTTTTGAAGTTCATCTGCTCGCTCCCCCCATTTCTTTCTCCTTTGTCTTCCTCCTTTCTAACAAATAGATATTTGAATGTCACTATGCCAGGTATATGTTAATGATCAAACAAATATAATGCTTATGAAGAACTGACAGTCTAGCTCTAGCAGAAAGTAGAATTATTAATTAACAACAATCACACTTTAAACTACCAGGTGTGCTTATCTATTCACATGTTACATTAGCTTATAGTGATTTAGAAATTTGTGCCTTCACTGTCTTGTCATTCCCATATCTAAAGAAAGACCCCTGGATTACAGTATGTGTAAATGAAATTAGTGCTTGGAAGACTACCATACACAGTAATCATGCAATTACTATTTGATGAATTAGTGAATAAACTGGCTGTGTTTTTGTATATATAACATCTGGTATTAACATTACTGAAGGTATTTTACCTACCAAACTGGATCTTATGTTTTTCTTCCTTTTTGTCTAAGATTTAGAGCTATTTATACATAGATTTGAAAGGTTTAGCCTAACAGAGGCTATTTGATCATTTTATAATTGCATACAATGCAAGTTGATATCATTTCATCATTGATGTCTGTGATATTCACATATTCTTCTTATTTATGATCTTATGATTGGAAAGAAATACTCATTACTTATGAACAAAATGTCTTCCAGTCTCTCTGGAAGTGGTATCCAGAGAGGAAAGTAGAACAGCAGCCAGTTCATTAGGGAAAGGGATGGAGGGAATTATTACCTTAAATTTCTACTTCATCTAAAAAGTGGGAAAAATTAAATTTTAGTAAAATATGATGTGTGGAGTGATAAGAGTAAATGTGTGGAGCCATTACAGTTTTCCTGCTGAACCATTAGGAAACCCAGTCACCAAAGGAGTAGTTAAATTGTCTGCAAAAAATTATGTAGAATACAATTGCTCTTATACTGTTGGATCTGTCAAACCATAGTATATCAGTCAGGTTTGCATTACTATAATTAAATATGTGAGTCAGTTAACTTATTAAGAGAAAGAGTTTATTTAGCTCACAGTTCTGGAAGTTCCAGTACAAAATCACATGGTTCCATTGCTTTGGGCCTCTGGTAAGGATATAGGAAGGACATGTGGGGTATTAGTGTCAACAGCAGACAGCTCACAAGACAGGTCAGGAAGAAAGAGGGGATAGGCTAGCATGCCACAATCCCCTTTGAGAATTGAGGACCTCCAACTAGTGCTTCACCTCTTCATGGTCTATAGCACTTTCCACTGTCAGTGCCCCTGGGGCCCAGGTCATTAGCTTATTGACTTTTGGAGGACACTATCTATTTTCAAACTATGGCATATAAATATGTTTTGTTTTATTAAAATATGTTCCAATAACACTTTATATAAATCTCATAGTGTGTTATTTTAATAATGTGTTATTTAAAATGTGATTTACATAAAGCATTTCACCTAAGGGAAATTAAATGTTTTTTTTTAAAGTGCATGTTCTCCTCATCTGCTCTCGTACTTTGAAAACTTCTACCCCACTACAAGATCAAACTGAGTCAAATATTTTCATATACATAGGGTGGCTTTACAAATAATAAAGTTTTCCATTCATTTATTACTTAATAGCCTTTACCAATTTCAAAATAAGTAGTATGTTGTAATATTTGGGAAATGATATTTTTTTCATTAGTGTATAAATTGTTTTTTTTTGTTTGTTTGTTTGTTTTGTTTTTGTTTTTTTTGTTTTGTTTTGTTTTTCTCCGGTACCGGGAACCGAACTCACGACCTTGTGCTTGCCAGGCAGGCGCTTTTGCCGCTGAGCTAAATCCCCAGCCCCCATTAGTGTATAAATTGTGATAAACTTGGAAAAGAAATTCTGGGAGCTGATGTTTACTGTTTCTATCATCTGTTACCTTGTTGTTTGTATTCTTTATTCCCTAAAGATTTTGAAGCCCGGGTCATGTTCTTTCTTTGTCCCAGTTTCTCCCATAAAGTTGGGCAATAAGGACTCCTAACATTAATCTAGAATCATTCTACTTTTTCATTTTCTTCTACAGGCAAACTCACTGACTGACTTCCAGAGGAAAGCAGCTGTGCAAGCCTGATCTCTGATTTTGTCTATCACATTTTCCAGGGCCTTTGGGCTACTTTTTATTTGTTTTATTTTTCTTTTGTTTGTTTTTGCATTACTGGAGATTCACCTCTTGGCCTTCACACTAAGCTACAATTCTAGCCCTTTTTTAGTTTTTATTTTGAGACAGCGTTCAAGCTAATTCCAAATTGAGCTTGAATGTGCAGTCCTCCTGCTCAGCTCCCTAGAGTGCTGGGGTTATAGGCATGTCTCTTGATTCTTTTTTACAATTCACTTTGAGTTGAGTAAGACCTCCAGATTTAGAGGTTAGGTAGGCCCTTCCATTTTTTTATACTACTACCACTTCCTGGCTTCCTCCTCTATTCCACCTAGATTCTACTCTTACCTCTTTCATCACACTTTTAATGGCATTCTCAGCTGTTGTTGTTGTTGTTACTCCAGATTGAACCTACCATCTTGGCACTGAACTACATCCTCAGCCTCTTTCTATTTTTAACTTTGACACACGATCTCACTAAGTTGTTTCATTGCCCAGTCTGGGTTTGAGCTTGCTATCCTCCTGCCTTGACCTCTCAGAGTTCTTGT